CTCAAATAGTATAGCAGGGAATGATTTAACTAGTACATTTCTGCTGCCTGGTAAAGGTCTTATAGTCTAAATCCATAGAAGGTATCACAACAAACAATCTGAATTCGTTTTTTTTTAAAGAAGGTTTTACTTCTGTAATGCATCTGCCCATGGCAGGATCTTAAGGGCCTTTCCAACCCTAACTATTCTATGATTCTATGATTATGAAAAAACAGTGATGCAATATGTATTTTCATACTTATTTGTTATTAACTGTGTTACTGTGCTGTGGCATGACACGGCATCACAGTATTAAGTTTTGAAACTGAAGCTTCTGTGAAACTGCACATCACTCTCTTGTACAGCCACGGCAGCTCTTGCTTTCCAAACCTTCTGGAAGTGTTCTGTTGAATGATGCCCACGTACATTTTGAACGATGCCCACATAACATTAAGTTAGTCTTCTAGAGGGAATTCAGGCAGTGTAAACTTAGCAAATTCTAGTTAATTGTTTTCAAATCTGATTTATGCTGCCTGTGAACATTTTGCATATTTTTCATAGCTAAAATACATCAGTGAAGGTTGGGAGGAGTTTCTGCTGGTTGAATCTTAATATATTTTGACATCTTATTTACAGCTGAAAAGTTAAACTTATTTAAACTGAAGAGTTTATCACGGCCTTGAATGAAATCTTCCAGGGACTTACTATCTAACATCCTGGAAAATAGATTTTGGAACCTGTTTTGACTCCCTGAGAAGATCAACTATTCAGTTCACCCATGTAGGACTGGTTGCTGAAACCTTCTAAAAGATACTTCCCAATACTCGTCTGTAGGTGGATTCAAAGTCACTTAATTTAAATCTCATGACGTCTGACTTCTGAAAGTCTCTGCACATCCTGAGCATCTTTCAAGTTGTTGAATATGTTTAATACTCATTAGGATTAGACCAGTTTTTCTGTGGCTCTGAGTGCTCTGGAGCTGTTTGTCATGTAGTTGAGTGTATTTAAAAGCATACAAGGGCTCTCTGCTGTTCCAGATCAAAGATAAGAAACATCTGTTGTGGGTTGGGAATAATATCTACTCTTTCCTACCATTGATTAATTTCAGGGGAATTACAGCCTGATGACAGCATGGTATTTTCTACAGAAGTGCTCAGGAATTAGGCATGGCAATTAGGGCACTACAGAGCTGTACCATGTAGGAATTGTGGTTCTACAAGACTATGAAGTTAAACATCTTGTAAAATAGAATACAAAGGACTGTGTTTTTTGAACTTATTTTATAATATTTAAAAAGATATTTTTCTGTCAACATTTTTATCTTCCTTTTCTTAAATAGTTTGGCCTTGCATTTTTCTCTGCTCATTTGCATGCTGGATTACTCATCATATTTTGCTTCTAATATGTACTAAGAAAAGCCCAGCGTTAGATGGCACAATACTAATAATTATGAAGTCCACATCTTCTTGTGGTTGGTATAAGACACAAAAGGCAATGGTGATGTATTTGTGAGGAGGAGAGGGCTGTGTTCCCTGTCTGCTGCTCATCTCCTGCCATTGACCCTTCCACTGCTGAGTCTTGGAGGGTGATGGTGGAATAACTGCATTTTGGTCACCTCGTGGGTGCTATTTCCAGTGGGTTAAGGAGGAGGGCGCTGGAAGGGGAGCAGGGGCAGCCCACCGTGCTTGCTGCCAGCGGGACCAGCCCGCAGGTGAGGCTCCTCTCTGGATAGGCAAAAATCTTTTGAGAGATGATCTTCTTGATTTTTACCAGCAGTTGGCAGAAGTTGTCTCAAGAAGTGGTTTTCCTACTGAAAATAGAAAAATAATGAAAATAGCAAAACTACTGATTCAGTCACTGGTGGTGATGATGTCTGGTTTTCCTGTCCTAAGAAGCATTTGAGTAAAATCCAAGTGTAGATGTGCACTCATTTCATAATGATTTTCCCATTAACTCTGTGCAACTTTTCTAAAATTTGCAGAGAAACTTATTTGGTATATCATAAATATTGTGAAAATGAGGTCTGTCAGTTTAGTTGCATGTGATTATCTACCTTGATAACATTTCCTTATCCTTGCTGTGAATTCCAGTGCATTTTTCTCCCTTAGATGTGGCGGAGTTGTACATTCCCAGTCTAAATTGACAAATATATTAATTAGCCTACCTAAACTCCACAGCTTGGTGGTTTTGGTGGGGACTGCATACCAGGCTGAGGCGGTGGCAGGTTCTCTGGGGGATCCTAGTCCTGCTGTATGGAAACCCATATGGACTGCAGGGGGACAGACTGGCATCACCGAATTGCCTCATCAATGGTGACCCAGTGCAGAGCAGCCCTCTGAACTGTTCCACATGTACCTGGGCACAGGAGTGGCAGAGCCTGCCATTTCAGAGTGGTGCCATCCTGGGATATCTGTTGGTTTACAGTGGATGAGAGAGGAGCATTAAACTTTGCAGATAAAATGAAGTAGCAATTAAATTCTCTGAAGATACTATTGATGATCTTAAAGGTCTTTCCAACCTAGATGATTCTATGATTGCAAGAGAAGGACATTTCTTTTTAATGTTTTTTGTCATGGTTGGTATTATTTGCCTTTTCTATTCTTAAATTTCTTCCTAATCTTTGTTAAAAAAGTTCCATTTTAATATTCAAAGCAAAGCTCCTAAGGTGTCCTAGAATAGATAGGCAGGTGGTTTCAGTATGGCGGGAGAGAGGGAAATAAGGCAATAAAGCATACACAGAGATCTCGGGGGGGTTTTCCCTTTTGTCAGTTTACATGTGAAATTTGAATAATGGTTGGACTTTCTATTTTTTCCTGGTATTCTGCCACTGCTTTTTTCCATTAGTTATCTCATTTCCCTCTCCTTGTTTTCTATGGTCTCATCATCCTACTCACTCCTCAGATTATCATGAATAATTGGGTCTTTTGGCTTTGTGCCATGGAAGGTCTTACTCTTGATACCAGTTTTGAGTTCAGGGATACTTGGAACAGTGAGTGGATCTACAGCTGAAGAGTAGATAACTGTTTTCCCTTTTTTGTGAGACTTCTGCTTTAGTTACTTGTTCAAAGATTTATACCAGTCAAGAACCCATTGGGGATTACCCTAACTGGTTGTAGAGGCCTGAGTTCTAATGAGTAATGTGAGCTTTGTAAGGCTTGAGCAGATCATGTTGTAGACAGGGAAGTGATGAAAAAGCTTCATTGAAGTGATAGAGATCTTTACATGATGTGTCAGCAAGGTGGAATGAAGGGGAACTTTGTATTTAATGGGAATGGACATGAGTCAAGGATTCTTTAATCTCGTTTCTAATAACCTTCAGCAAAGAAGTTGTACTTGAATTTTATTGCAAGAGAAGGTTTTTTTGGTTAATAAGCAACTTGTTTCATTGAAAACAAAACTATGGAGAAGATTCCTCCACCCCAGTCATGCTTTGATGGTCTGGTAATGAAGCCCAGATAAGGGGTTTCTTGAATGGCATGAAACCTGGTGGTACACTATCTAAACTGCTTTCTTATATTAATATAAAAACATGGCATTCAGATTTGAAGAAGTTGGTTTTGAGGAATAACTGAAAAAATTAAAATCTGGTTGGAGACAAAAGCTGCTGCAATGTTGGCAAGAAATCAATCAATGTTATATAGGGTTTAAGCTGAGTATTACTGGAGCAGACATGGGGATTTGGTTAATCATTAAAGTAGGCAAAACCTTTCCTGTTAGTGACATCTCAGGTCTTTCCTTGGAAGCTCTTCTGTATTGGAATAAAATATGCAGCACTGTAAAAAAAAGTATTCTTTTTTCCATTTGGCGTATTACAGTTCTCAGCTAGGGCTAAAATCTTAAAGATAAATCATACTTGATCTGGAGACAGTAGTGGTCTGGAATACAATCTTACCATGTGGAGTTTTAATGTCTAGAATATTAGAAGAATATTGTGGTTTAGAATACAAATATATAACTTTTTGTGTATAGGTTTTTTTGGGTTTTTTTAAATGAACAGCATTATCTCATACTGTAACCACACTATCATGTTAAAACAAACTGTATGTATTTTATATACATAAAATCACTTCTTGTGTCCATGATCAAATTGGATCTTAAAATGGTTTTGTTGAATCACAACAATTCTTACGGTCATGTTGACTGCAGAGTTTTTAATGTGTGAATATTTAGCAAACAAATTGGAAGTCTCATTGAAAGTGCAGCTCTAGCAGTTAACAGGCCACTTTAGATTCTAAAATGTCAGCTGATTTGCTCTAGAGAGAAACATGTAGTGTTGGATTTTTCCATTCAGCTAACTCACCTACTAAAATAATAGTAACTGGAACAGTTGAGTATGGCTGCATGCAACAGGATAGAGAGGAATTTCAATCAGAACAGTGGGAGGGAAAAGTGAAGGGAGCTCATTTCTTAACTTGTGAAGTTGGAGGAACCTCATATGGAAAAGTACATTGATAGTGCAACATAATATTGTTCAAATAAATCCTTTGTCTCATGGTGGAAATATGCAAGTTTTTAAATATTTCCTATTGTCTGTTCATACAGTCTGGGTTTATCCTTGAATAAAAATACATTAAATATATCTGTAGTGTTTTAATTAAAGTCAGTAGGGCAGAGTTGGATTTAACATGATTGCATAGTGAACTTAATGAGTTCAAGATCCAACAGTGCTGTATAGATTAGTTGCTATCTAGTGCCATTAGCTCATAATGTCTGGCTCTGAGCTTTTAATAAATTAATCAATTAGACTGGGACCACTTGAAACAACTAAACTTAAAACCTCTAGATAATTGGTCTGAAATAAATTACATAAATGAAAATAACAGTTACATAATCCATAGTACTCTTTACTGGTACTGCAAGCAATAGGTTTAATTGTGTTCTCTAACTGCTGTTGCTCTTGAAGTCTGTTTGATTTCAGAGGGATTCATTTGTTACTTCGTTATAGCACAGTAGTTGGGATCCTCAATGTATGTTTTTTTAGTAAGAATATACAATGCTCTAACTTTCCGTAATATCCATAGGTTTTAGGACCTGCCCCAAAATGGTGTTCCTTCTTGGACAACTTGACTGAAGAACTGGAAGAGAATCCAGAGAGCACAGTTTATGATGATTACAAATTCGTTACCAGAAAAGACCTTGAAAATTTAGGTAAAGCAGTTGAACGTCCTCTTTAGCTGGCTTCTGTGTTCAGTTTTTGATTACTTTCACATGCAAGTTTTGTAATTCTGATGTGATGTATGAGTACTGCTAGAAATTCACTGGCAGAAGTTTCCTCTAGTCTTCTTGGTTAGTAATACAACAGACTGATGGCTTCATGTTCTTTGGTTCCCAACCAAAGTTCCCACTGCATCACTAGATACTTGTGTTGCAAATATCTTGATGACGATGATTGGCTGATTTAATATGTCTAGGAATCTGTTGTGTGTGCTTTCAGACACTAAATGAAAGGCATAGGAAGAGAAGTTGGTTTTGTTTTCAAAGTATTTTTAAGGCACTCAAATAGGATGTTGGAACTCACGGCAAAATCTGCCAAAGACTACCCTATTTGAATTCAGTAATTTCCAGAAAATACAAATTGTTCTGGGGCTAATAGAAACACAGGTTCATGGAACTGGAATGCTGAGAATTACATAGCGGAGAAGGCAAGCATGCTTCTCCCAAGGCAGTTAGACTATTTTGTGCCCGTTACATATTTGGATTGCAGTGTTTTGATCCAGTTTAATTAATTTACCTCTGAATATGGGAGTTGGGTTTGGCCTTGCAGGAGTCCATACGAGGAGGAGGTCATCTAAAGCACCTGCCTCTTCAGCATTACAATCCTAGAATAGGTGTCTGAATGTAGCCCTCAGACCCCTGTCCCAATTTTAACAGAATAAGGCAACGTAGTATTATCTATAGAGACTTCACTTGGAATACTTACTCTGTTTTAAATTCACTATAACTTAGTAAAATTCATTTTGCCATAAATGCAGGCTTTCAAATGAAGAACCAGCCTCAGGGATATTGTGTATTTCATTGTCAGGTTTTCTTTGTATTACTGGCCATTAGCTGGAGTACTCATTTTGGAATATGAAGGAAGATTGTTTCCTGGAAACAATTAAAATTTTTAGCAATAATTTTGCTTTGCTGAGGCACACAGTGGTTTCTCTCAATTTTTTGCCATTTAGTTCTAGAAGTAGTTTGTTAATTCTTAATTTCTAAAGATTTGGCTGTTGTAGAGGATATTTTACTATTAAAACCTTTTCCTTTTCCCAGTCATGGAATTTTGTGAAGATACATGGAAGGAAAATGAGAGAACTCCGAAGTATTTTCATTCTTACGTAGTTTAGGGCTTAGGGTAACACTTTTGTGACGTGAAGTGGTTTTTTCAACATGTTGATTCTTCAAGGAAAGTTACACAAGGCAAAACACTTTAATTAAAAACATCCCTATACCACACTAGAAAAGTGATTGTCAAACATCTATGGGCTTTCAAAAAAGAATACTCTTGAGTTTTTTTATGTAAGCTGTTACGGAATGTAGTGCATGTGGGCATTTTAAAAAGTGCACAGTAATACATGTTTTGGCAAGAAAAATGGATATTTGTGGCTCTGAAGCAGCTCAAATTTCTAGCTGGCCAAACTGTGGAGTGGAATTTCTTTCTGTTTTGGTTTGTCTTTTTGTGGTTTTACTTATCCTTGATGTAATGGATGTGACTGTTAGATTGATGTGTTGGCACTTCTCATTTGTCTTGAGTCAGGTAAGTGAAGTGGCTGGCTTGGAATAGGACTTCTTTAAATATGAAAGGTCTTTGAAATCCTCTGTAACTTTTTTCCCTAGGCCTTGCTCATCTCATTGGATCGTCATTGCTCAGAGCATATATGCATGGCTTTTTCATGGACATAAGACTTTATCATAAGGTAGAGAAGGATGATCCTTGTCAATTTTTAATCTTAGCAATAATTATCTGTGTGTTGGGGTTTTATTTGTTTGTGGGTTTTTTGTTTGGGCGGGGTTGTGTGTGTTTTTGTTTGGGGGTTTTGTGAGTTTTTGGTTGGTTGGTTGGTTTTTTTCCTCCAAATAACAGACTGTGGCCAGCATTAATGATGTTTTCTTCTTACTTCCTCCTGCTTGTTTAAAGGCAAAAATGATGGCCAATCCTTTTGCGTATGAAGAATACAGGAGAGAGAAAATAAGGCAGAAGATAGAAGAAACACGTGCACAGAGAGTTCAACTAAAGGTAAATCCTGTAAACAATGGCTGTACTTCCAGGAAAACTGGTCATAAAAGTAGTATACTCTTAAGAATATCTCAGAGACGTAATGACTTAGGATTTGATTCTGTTCATCGTCAGAGACACAAAATAACTCATAGAACCTTTGATGGAACTGTGTAATTCCCATGTGTTTGATTCCCACAAATGAAAAATACTGATACTAGGCTGTAAAAGTGTAGCTCTCGTCACATTTGCTACTTGAGCAGATAACCCACTGGTGAAATTCACAGTTTCTACTTCCGTCATTAAACTAAATGACTTAAATCATTAAAACATAATACTCTGGAAAAATATGTAAAAATAGTATTGCATTTACAGCTAGTAGCTTTCTGGATTGAATTTGTTCAACATACAAGAAGAAATAATTTCTTTTAAAGTACTTGTTGACAAGGAAAAAACGATAAAGAAGTTATGCTTAAATTTTCTCCAAATACTGTTGCTTTACTAGTACCTAGAAATATCTGGGACCAGTCATGGAGCTTTTCAGAAAGACTTATGAATAAGAATTCTCTCCTCACCACATTTAGGAATGTAAAGCATGTGTAAAAGAGTAATTTACTGATTAATTGCTTTTAGAAACTTCCGAAAGTCAATAAAGAGCTTGCGCTCAAACTCATTGAAGAAGAAGGAGAAGGGGAACAGGTTACTAGAAAAAGGAAACAGAAGGTGAGCTTTTCTTTTGGGGACTTATGTAACTGGGGGCACAGAAATAGTAATGCTTACAGTATTGAGGTTTTTTTGTTGTTGGATTTGCGGGTTTTATTTCCATTGATATCTGGCCGAATATATTCAAAATTCCATTGTCTCTGTTTCTCATATGTAACTTACTCTTGTGGGTGGCTTAAACCTTAAAATTATGAAATACTCGCTGTGAAGATAAGGGCTTTGTAGGACTCTGCTAAATGCAGACTCAATACCAAAGTTGACTGAAAAAGACCTGCTTGCATTTGGTGGTATTTTAGTGGTGACCATGACAAAACAGATGTTATTGGAAGATAAAATTGCCTTTGTGTACCTGGTTAACAAAAATAGCAAAAATGGTTTGCTCTTGTGCAACAGGAATTCTTCCTGATGTTGAAAATAATCCATTTTTATCCTAACTGAAGTCTAAAGGAAAAAATGAGTTAACGTTTAATATCTAGTGGGAAAGAGGCTTTCTATAGGTAGCACTTCACAGGTGTTCATTCTCACAGAAATATAGCATATATGTAAGGCAGGCATTAGCTTCATGTGGCATCAGATGAAATCTCCTGTGTGTTACAGCTGGTAGGAAGCATTAACTACTGAAAAAGTAGGTGGTGGTAAAACCTTAAATGCAGACTGTCTAAGACAGTTTTACAATGGAAATACGGATTCAGTAAATGGGAGTTGATATGTCTAGGAGTACGTACAGATTGTGTTATGAAGCAGACTGAAAAAAGTATACTTAAAGATGCATGTTCTGGTTATTTTTCTAAATTACATTAGAGTCTTAAGAAGAAAAGGTTATTTTTGTCTGTACCTTCTCTCCCCACCACCCCCACTCCTTAGGTACACTGGAAGTTTAATGCTGGGGTAGGATGAATGTGCTGGTATAAGTTTGGCAATGCTGAAAGATCAGCTTTTTATAGTAAAAAGCTGTGTATTCAGTGATTTTAAAATGACAACAGGTATTCACATAAGCTGAAATTGTAGCTTGAAGTGCTTCTGATTCAACAGTAGCATAATTTACACTGAGTTCATTTTACTTTGATGTGAATGAAACTGCCTTTTCCATTCTGTATGCAAGGGCAGTGAGGAAAAAGTGTTATAAGATGTATAGAAACATTCTCACTTTCAGTAAAACAGTAGTAGCATTGCATAAAGACGTTTACCCTGATAAGGTGTTTACATGTTGTAGAATCATCCCTGTCAGACAGGGTATTTGCCTGGGAGGTACTGCTGATTAGTCAATAGATAGAAACATGTCTCCAGACTAGCTGGCTGAATGTTTGAGAAACACTAATTCAAAAATATTAGTAATTGTATATTTAAGGTGTCTATAGTGTGCATTTTAAAAGTCTTGCTTACAGGTAGCTTTGAATGATATTTATGTAATAAAATATAATAAGCATAAATCTTGATTTTTATATGACCTGGAAGCATAAAAAACCTGGCATTTCACATAGTGGTTTTGAGTTATGTTTAATTAAAAAGGTGTTACTTATTTTACCAATGTCTGTTTCAGAATTTTAGAACTCATTCATGCTTTGCTGCTTTTCCAGAATCTGCCTAGTCTTCTGAAAGATGATCGTTTTAAGGTCATGTTTGAGAATCCAGATTTCCAGGTGGATGAGCAGAGTGAAGAATTCAGGCTACTTAACCCACTTGTTTCTAAAATAAGTGAGAAAAGAAAGAGGAAACTAAAGATGTTGGAGGAACTGGAAGCACAAGAACAGGTAAAATATTTTCCATTTGGATTAGGAAAAAAATCCATAGCATGATGGTTTGTTTCAAACATTCAGATCTTTCACCTTAGAAAGAAGATTCAGGCAATGAAAGAATGTCTTAACAGCTGCAGTAATTAAGTGTAATTTATAATGTCATCCAAGATTTTAGATGTGAGCAGTATCGCGTCTACATGAATATAGGTTTGAAAAACATGAAATACGTAGGTGGAAACAAATTTATAATATATCTTCTGCTTAGGTTGCTGTTTAGTTCAAATGTTAGTTCTCTTCAACTTGTATCTATGTAACAGCTGTCACGTACTCTAATTGCAGGAGTGATTTGAAAAGAAAATCAGTTGATGATTTCTTATTTTATCCTATTTTTGTCTGCAGGAAGAGGAGGAAGAGCCAGAAGGAAAAGCAAGTGATGCAGAGAGTTCTGAGAGTTCAGATGATGAAAAAGGCTGGGTTGAAGAGGTCAGGAAACAGCGCAAGCTTCTACGCCAAGAGGAAAAAGTAAAGCGGCAGGAAAGGCTCAAGGAGGATCAGCAAACATTACTGAAACCTCAGTTTTTTGAGATTAAAGAAGGAGAGGAATTCAGAAGCTTCAAAGACTCTGCTAAAAAACAAAAATTAATGAAGTAAGACTAATGTTCCTATTTTAATAGCTGGGGGTGGATGATTCTCAAGTATTTCTCTACAATGCAGGCCAGTGGCATTTTGGCTTCGAAGCGCTTGCTAGTAATGCCACATCTGGCGACTCAAGGATATAACTTAAAGCATCATAGTTTTTGAAAGCTTTGTTTTGTAGTTAAACAAATACAATGTTTGAAATATGGCAGAGACACAGACGAGTAAGAGATTAATATTTTGAGCCAGATTCGGGGATCCATTACTCAGTGTTGGTAAACTGCTGCTCTCACAAATAACACCACCGTGAGACTGGTTATATTTCTCTGCCATGTCAGTATGAGGTTGACAGCATGGTTGTTTTTCATCTGACTCTCCAAAAAAGATGTAGAATATTGCATCACTAGTCACTATTTTTGAGGGTAGGAACAAGGTGGTAAAAAAAAATAAATGTTTTGTCTGGGTATTTTTATAACATCCAGAAACTTCAAAAAGACGATGCTGTCCTTATATTGTCAGGCCTTACTATTTCTGGTTTCCTTTTTGCAATATAAAAAATCAGATTCGGTTTTGTTTTGTTTTTTAATTTGGGTTTCCTTGAATTGATGATCCACTGAAGTAGCTGGGTACTGTATAAAGTGCGTCAAACTAAAGGACTTGCCTTTGAGTACGTCAAACTAAAGCACTTTGAGGTGCTTAATGCCTGAAAATCTCACTGATATTTCTTTTTGGAGGCGAGTGTAGCCCTTTGGAAATGAGATTTACTAGCCTTTTATTATTTGGAGCATAGACACTAATACTGAAAATTTGAAACACAATAGCTTCAAAGGTCTTGTAGCATGCTGGATGCAGAGCAGAATTTTGACTAATGTTGGAAACAAGTTGCTGGGCTAGGTGGATCTCGTAATAGCCATTACGTTTTTGCTTAGAATGAAATGATACAGTCAAAGGAAGTGAATAATATATATAATGAGGCTGTTTCTTCATGTCACTAATAACTGACTCTACAACCTAGTTGTTTCGTGATGGAAATTTTCGGGAAATATATAAAGAAACGTTTGATAAAAATTCAGCCTATCCCTTAAATGTGCAAGGTTTTAACCAGAGTTACAATGTAAAATGGTCTCTTAGGGTTACTGAGACAATGTTTCTACAGTAGTCTAGTAGTCTGTTTTCCATTTTGTTCCTGTAAGACCTCCTTAAATAGAAGTACTAGTTTTTATAAATTTTATAAACTAAAAATTTATAAATTTATAGCAGTTCTGCAGAACTAATTCCCTTGTTTTCCATAGCTGGCTTTTATCAGCAAGTGTTTTCACACAGAGATTTTTCTTTGTTCTTCATACTGAATATACTCATTCACTCTGGACTTAAACATTCTTAGATTTCTCCATCAACTTTCTTCTGATTATTTTTCTTTTCCAGAAGACGAAGCAATTTTTTACTTTTATCAGGTTTTCTTCTTTGTCAGGGGAAAATCCACGCTGGCCACTCTGTCACAGAGTATTGTAGGTTAAGGATGTTTTTTACAGGGTACTTAAAGTCGTATTAGCAAGTGACTTGAAAGGAGTGAGATGCTGGTCAAATGGCACTGTATTCTCATTGCCATTGAAATACTTCACTAAAGGGCAGTATGGCTGCAGCCTACTCACATACTGTGTTTTTTTACACCAATTCAGCTGCTGACCTCAAAAGGAAATTCTCAAGGACGCTTAATTTGAAATATTAAGATTTCATTTTGTTCAAAACATGGAAGGCTTAAATGTGAACAGGGATACTGAAAGTTAAGTAAATAAGCCAAGACAAATGTAAGGAAGAGAAACATTTGGAAAAAAAATAGTACAGTGTAACCCAGGACAAAGTAAATTCTTTCATCTGGTGTACTGAGAGAGAAAAATCATTGCTTCAGCTTGGGAAAAATGAAAACAAATACCACAGACCTGTCCAGTGGAAGGAGGAATATCGATGACGATGTAAACCACAGAAAGACTTCTAGAAGACTGCTTATAGGGAAAAGAGAATCTGTCTTAAGATTTGCTGCTAATTCTTTGCAGAATATTTTTCAAGGTGTAATAGAATCAAAATATTTTTGGTTGGAAGGGACCTCTAAAGGTCACCTAGTTCAACCCCCCTGCCATGGGCAGGGACATCTTTAACTAGATCAGGTTGCTCAGAACATTCAGCCTGGCATTGAATGTCTCCAGCGATGGTGCATCTACCACCTGGGCAACATGTGCCAGTGTTTTACTACCCTCACTGTTAAAAATTTCTTCCTCATGCCTAGAATCAGAGAGTCATAATTAGGGGGCTGAGGTTAGATACCCTCTCTGTGGTAGGTGCATGGATGGAATGTAATGTAAAATGTTAAAAAAGGGGAAAAAATAAGGAGAGAAAATTGAGGGTGGAATAAGATGACCAAAAACTGGATATGACAGCATCACGTCCTTTCTGATTTTCCAAGTTGCTGTCATTGAATTGTTTTTCACTGGTTTTTTGGGGTTTTTTTTATTTCTGTCTAAGCAGTTAGCTCTTTACTCACTGATGCCATTTGTGTTCATCCAGAAACTCCAGTATGGAGTTTGATATTCCTTAAATTCTTAGGCAAAATATATAAATCAGCAGCTGGTATCTTTTTATATAGCTGATACAATTCTGTAATCATAATGACTTAGTCTGCGTTGTGAGCTAACTTGTTTGGTTAAAAAGCATTTTTACATAGTAGAACTTTATGAAGAAAATACTTCAATATGTTTTCAGCTGGCCTTATTCACTGATAAGTAGTCAGCATAAAAATAATTAATTCAAGTAATGTACTGAAAATTGGAAAGACTGTAGTGGCATGTAGAATCTGGTGTGGCTGGCATGTTTGTCTTTGATTTGATTTATCCAAGTTACGGAATGATGGTCTGTGACCAATATAATTAAGTACCTTAATACCTTCACTATGCATTTAATGGCTAGGTGTTCTTTTTTTCTCTAATCGTATAATGTTCTACCTGAGGAAACAGTTTATGACTTATATAAAACTGGGTGTTTCTTTCGACATGTTCCTGACTCAGCACGGCTCCAAGCCCAGCTTCTAAAGCAGTGGTGCGTACTATAAATTTCTTCATAGGCTAACAGTCTACGCATTTCTTTGCAGAGGAAAGCTGCAAAATTTACTCATGGTTGTAAAGACTGCCTTGTCTCAAATCCATCTATATTTCATTTTCCCTTTTTGCGCTCCAATGCTTGCACATAAAAACCTTCAGAACTTTGCTTTATTTACTTACTGCATAAGTTTTTTACGAAGTAACTTAAAAGGAATCCAGAAAAGGAAAGGGTGTTTATCAGCATGCTGAGAGCTCTTTTGATTTCTTGGTGTCCCATTAAAGGGTTTGTTATTGAAGTTAGAGCATGTCAAAATTAAAAACTACAGTAGTCATGCTTCATAAAGTATGACAGTCAATGTATATGTCTTCAGAAGTGGCCAAGAAAGCCAAGAAAAGCATAGCTGACATTCCTAGGTATTGGTGAAGTAAAACAGCAGGAGAAGTCTTGAAAAGCTGCTCTCTATATAATGAGGGAAGAAAGAAGTGCCTGGGCAACCTTTTTGTTTGTTTTTTACTGCAGGGTGAGGGAAGTTGCTTTTAATAACAGTGTTACTGCATCCCTTGAATCAATGTGTAGAGAATGATTTAAACAAACAACCGACCCAGCTGTTGTGTTTGTGTATCAGTGTGTGCAGTTCACTGTCATTTAAGGTCTGCACATTTTCAGATAAATACAGCCATACCTGCATTTGTTCGGTAAAATTGGAACCCCACAGCGTTTTGTTAATATCTCCCCATTTTAATTTTTCTCCTGACTGAAGCATTATCTAGGCAGTCATGCTAAATAATTGCTGGGTAGAAGCCATATTTCTCCAGTTCATTTTCAAAGGGGAGGAAAATGGGACTTCACTTGAATGTAGAAATCCCACCACAATGTCAGTGACTGATCTTCTGCCATAATTAGCTCTAAGGCTTAGCTTGTCTTCCCGATTCACACAGATGGAACAAGTTTTTACATGTACTGAATGAAAAATATACTACAGAAAAAAAAATACAATCAAAGTACCTAGTCATGAGAAATAAAGTAATTCTTGACAGTAATTTTTCATTGTTAATCTGAAAAGTCTTTGTTACATAAAATGGCTCATTATCCAAAATTCAGTGGACTTCAGAGGCTTCATGCATAGGCCACAGTCCATTAGCCCTTTATCCATAGTAAATGCCATCAACTTTGGAGGCTGCTAATCATCTGTATTTTTATGATGACTTATTTTCCACTTTCAAACTTGTACAAAAAACATCTCTTAGCCCTTTTCAGAGAGATTTAATAAAGCATTGATAGCAGCATCTCAAATTACAGAAACTAATTTCATTTACAGTTAAGTGAATGTTTTCTAAGCATATTGCAGAGTAGTTTGTCTGATACTACAAGCTGTGTCATATTCTCAGGTGGCACTACCTGCTAATAGGACCCGCATTATAGAAGGGAGGACAAAGCATGTTAGGACTCACAGGTGCCTTTTGGGAGGCTGGCTGAAGCCAGCACCATCCCTACCTGCCTCACCCTGTGCTGGAGGCTATGTGGGAACAAGGTGTATTTCCACTCCTCAGCTGTTCCAGTTTACAACCCAATGTAACTGAATCAGCAATGGTCATACTAAATACCAGCTTGCAACCTGGAACAACTGGGGCACATCCATGTGTCTTGTCTTTGTAGGGACATCCTCCAGTGGAGAAGAGTTGAAGGCAATATTTGTTTAGGCCACAACAGCTACTAACTCCTCCTCTGTAGAAATGCCACACTTCAATGCCCAAGGGAGGGGCTGTGTACCAGGTTGCTTACAGAAACTAATGGACAATCACAGTGCACCTGAAGGCCTGTGTTTATATGGAGTTCCTCTCTGGGGTCAGGGTCTGTCTTACCACATTCCTTTGTTTGCATTGTTCTTTTATTTAGAAAATGCATTAGACTATTGCAGTTGCAGTGTCTGAGCAGTCATTTTGTATTTGGACTTGTTTGTCTCCATCACTGAAGTGATTTATTTGGTGATGAGGTAGTCAAGATTATTTCCTTCCCTCAAAAGTTTTTCCAATTCAGAAATAATAAGATTTCAAGAAAACTGTGTATATCTAGCCTTTTTTTTTTTTTTTTCCTTCTTTTTTTTGGGGAGGGGGTGTGTGTGTGTGTGCAGGTATCTCTTAACTGCAGCTGAATATTCCTGACTTTTTCTAAGGTTTCATAGAAAAGATAGCAATGGAAGGGTGTGGTTTCTTTCTCAACTAGAGTCTTGTTGCTTTTTTAGCAAAAAAACCCGACGAGTTCTACATAAATTTTGGAAGTGTTTCTACTGAAAGCAATATCTGGAGGGAATGATTTGAACTTGTCTGTTTTCTATTTACTGAATGTTTACTTTTTAGAGTTATGGCATTTCAGAGAAATTGAGATTAGTTTTGACTGCAGTATCAGTCTTTATTATAGTAAAAAGATGGCAAGAATAGGGACTAATGTTAATTATTCTCTGCAGGAAAACTCTTGGAGATCGTTTAAAGCTTGAAGAAAAACTTGGCACGCTGAATGTGTCTGATACCACAGTAGGCAGCAAACAGGCAACCTTCAAATTAAAGAAGGTAAGCTATATATATATAATTTTTTTTAAGATAATACACAAGTAACTTTAGTTTTTGCATGAAAGAACAGGAACTTTAAAACCGTCAAACAAATGTCCCTCTTCATTTTTATTTTTTTTTATAAGCTGCCAACTCTCCTGCTTCTTGCCAAGAGAATGAAAGCCTCCGGTAGTACTCTGTGTGTTTATATCCTTATAACTCAGGCAGCACTCATAAAATCTTATATTCTGGTGGAAAATAATGGCTCCCATCTTTTAATAGTTTATGTGCAGACATACCATCAGAAGCTTGTGACCTTACCTGACTTCTGTGCCAGGACTGATCAGATCTTGGTTGCAGGTCCACATGCAATCAGGATGCCGTAGATAACAGGCTTTCTCTTGGTTAATAATGTTGCTAGGTCTCAGTGTGATAAAAACAAAGCTCCTAACTACCTTTGTCATTGAACTTGTGTAACACAGATCACAGGAATGAGCTCTGCTCTTGTTCTGCTTGCCAAATTCCATTGGAAGTGTGTAGCTGCCTGCTGCCTATCTTCCTTTCCTGAAGGGCTTTGATTTCCTATTCTAGGAAATTTTGTAAATCACAGACAGGTGATTAATTTGTAGTGTGGGCAGAGTTAATTTCGTGTAGAACACTTAGGGACTTTTTTGATAGAAAATTGCTTTAGAACTGAGGGACACAATATAAAACCAGAAGACCCATATTAATTGTTAGTTAAGCTGACAAAATGTACTTCAATTAAAACTGATTTTCTTCAGGTAAGCCTCTGCTATAATACATTCCTCCTTATCAGTGGTCAAATGTTATTCTCACCACTAAAGCTGGCTGTCAAACAGTGGCTAAAAGTAGCTATTTGACTGTCACATTGGGTGTACGTGAAATAAAAATTTAAATAACCCAGATATATTGGACTATTTCTATCTTACTTGGTTTACCTGATTGTTGTCTCTTTGCCGATGTCCTTTTTCATATGCTTTTGATTCCTGTATTGCTGGATTTTAAGACATGTTGACTGTGGAATTCCTCTGCAGTGCTGTATAGGATTACAGTTCAGGGGATTTTACTAACTGCTGTAATTGATATGTTACCATCTTGCAGCTAATTAAATGGGCATTGCAGGCTTTGAAAGCACAGTCTTTTTTATAGTAGCTTTAACTTAAAAAGCACAAAACCACAAGGTTTCTTGCAGTTGGTGATGGACAATGAACTATTAACTTTTTACTAACAGTTCTATGAAGATTTGGGAGTCGGGAGAAGACACATACGATGGTGCTTCAGAATGCCGTTTTTACTTGATTCCATCAGATATGCTATAACTTTGAAGTCTTTTATTTTGCTGCTAATGTATACGGATTTTTTCTGTTAACTGATGTTGCTTTATTGAAATACATACATTGTGCTCATTTGCATTAGAAGCACTTTTTAAAGTCTAATTAAAAGAAAAATAATGCATCTGCAGTGGGGATCTTTTCTCCTATCAACAGAATAGCAAAATAAGACTTACAGGTCTTCTCTCAGATAAACAGACCCTGTGTATATATTCTGAAGTGCCAGGGAATGGAGCAAGGAGAGTTTAGGAAGAGATCATGCTATGCAGTGTGCTCTGTCCTCACACTCCTTTTCAGAGGATAAAGAGATGAAGTTGGCAAGCCAAAAAAAAGGATTATAGTGTTACTCTGATCATCAACTTCCACTTTGTGATGCCATTTCCTTAAAGTGCAGGTGCGTTTAGGAGTAGGTGGGAAGATTTAATAGGGGAGAGAATTGTCCTTCGATAGGATTGGTATCATTTGACCTTCCAAGTCAGTGGTATTGGGACTGAACTTGGCTGCTGCAGCTGTGGTATGTTACCAGCCTCCTGAATGCCCACCAACCACTGACAGACCCAACAATGAAACTGTCATTGATACTTCATGATTTAGTTCTTAGGGAGTTTTATTATGGTGTGGTATCCTGTTTCGCAATTCTGGTGTGCTTTATCATAGCAAATAGGTATTTTAGAAACCCTGCTATTCTGTTATGCCTAAGCACTTACACTACTAAGGAGGTATAGAGGACTTTTAAATAAAATAAGCAAAAAAAAACCCCAAAAAACCACCAACAAAACAAACAAAAATAAATCACAAAGCTTCAAATACAATCTAGATCACTTCATTTCAGTACACTAGCAGTAGCAGTCAAAATTTAAATTAAGTAAGATTTCCCAAGACTGTTTCAGACAAAGTCTGGAGGGAGAGACTATTATACATACTCAAAATTCTTACAGTGAACAGGAGTCAATAAATTCTATAAAGTCTAGAGACCACTAGCTTTTATTACCGTGATACCATTATGGGCTTATTGCTACAGATGATGAACTGGTTCATATCTTGCCTCAGCCAGAATGCTGCCTCTGCATGCAAATCTCTAGCTCAAGTTTAAATGGTACTGTAAGGGGAGATTCAGGGAGAGATGGGCTGATGCATGATAGAATGCTGCTGCTGATAGAATTAGGTGCAGTGGGGATGCAGCTACATATACAGTAATTCTGTCACACTATTAATGTGGTTATCCTGTGCTGCTGTTGAAATTGGTCTAATTGCTGCCTGAGGTTGGCTAGTCAAGTCTGCTAGTTCCAGTTTATGCTTAGTTTGAAGACAAGACTTAGTCTTCCAAAGAAAATAGTTTATGGCTGTAAGAGCAATTTCGTCTGTGTGGTGTGTAAATGAAACCTTCTCAGCATGTTTTTGATAAAGAGGAAAAGCATAAGTAGAGCATGTGCCACAGGAGCAGATATTCACAATTCTTTTCATGTGGCAGGTCTTTCTAGAATTGCATACAGCATATCATTCTGAGAACACTTTTTAGAAAACTTGTAGGTTTCAGCAAATTTAAGTAATTGGTCTGTCTTTTTAAAATCCATTTCTGCAAATATTAAATGTGGTAATGCTAGTTAACCAAGGGGGATACCGAATAGCCTCAAATTGTTCTCTACTTTCTTAAGGGCATTAAACATTAAATTCTGGACTGTAATTTTTACAGTCTACTGTTGGACACTGATTTTCATCTGAAATGCATTATTTTTTTCACTAGTTCTTACTGTCTTTGTCTTAAATGTTTGCTTTGAGTTACTTGGAATGATAATGCCTAGGGACACCCAGAATTAAGTTTAAGACAGGACAGCATGGGACCATTTACAGTAACGTATCCAGATTTCCCTAATGGAATTCTGACTTGGTTGGTATCTAGATACTTGAACGATGAGGTGATATGCAGGTTTACAAGAACCTGAGTCTATTTTTGTTTTAATATTCCAGTCAGAGCAGCAAAGGAAACAGCAGGAAGCTGAGAAACGACATCGTCAAGAGAGGAAAACCCTTAGGCGCCCTGCTAGCCATCTCAAGAGCAAACGAGGAAGAGGACGACTGTTTCATTGATTTATGTTATCTTTTTAAGAAACTTTTCTCATTTTTTATTTGAAATGGGGACTTTTTCAAACTGGGACACAGTACCATATGTTTGTATTTTGTTTCATTGATGAACACAAAAGCCAGAACTTGCAAAACCCTGTGTTGGAAAGTTTATGAAGGTAAAAGCATTGACAGAGGACACTATGGGTATGGTTTGTTACAAACTCCAGTGTGAACTGTATTTGTTCAGAAATCACCAGCAACTGGTTCTTGTGTAACCCTGGATGTTTTCTATGTAAGACTTCATGTTTACCACAAGGCTGCCTTTCTTATATTTAACTGAAGAGCTGTGGGGTTTTATTTCTGAAATCTTTATTTGTGACTGCTTAGATGGAAGATCAAGGGTAAGTTGCTTTGTCTAAAAACTTACCTTTATAAGGGCACAACGTTTTTCTTTTATGGTTCCAAAAGGATGACACACAAATGTGTTTTTCAAATACTGACTTTGGCTTTATATTCTTGGGCTGCTTTAGTAGCCAGGAAGAGGCACAAATGGTTGTCAAGAGGGCAATTGAGAATGCCTGATTTAGATTCCTCTAAGGCACCCTATAAGGAAGTCTGTCTTGCCACACTGATGTACAAAGGGGAATCTCAAAAGCATAGTTTTATGAAGTTAAATTTTGTGAATATTGCCTTTCCTTAGGACCAGGTTTAATATGTTTTGGTAAGCCAGCCATGGTTCAACATAGACCAAGTGGTATATGTTCGCATAATAAGCATATTAGGGCTATACCAGTAGCCTCCTAGCCTTCAAAAAGTTATTTCAATTAAATAACTTGAGAAACTAGAACCTATGTTAATTAAATGATTGATCTTTTCTATGTCTTCTTCTGATTACCAAAATAATACTTGTTGCTAACCAGGGTACAGCATCTTTTCTTGACTTTTACCTTGCAAACCCATCATTTACGTAAGTAGTTCACTACTTAAGAAAATAAATGAATTTTTACCTTTGATCCTAAAGGAGCTTTGTGTATTGCTGTTTAAAAGGTGTTATAAATTGTCTTTCTGCTAAATCCAAGAAGCTGTGAACTTGGATACAGCAAGAATCAGCGAATCTCTGCATTGCTCTTTAAGTCTTTGTAAGAGATTTAGTGTTTTGCATTATAAACCAGAGAGGTTATTAATGTGGTCAGGTCTTCTGGACAGTATTTACCATGAAATTTTTGCAGTTACTTCAGTAAAGACCTCAGTTTCTAATAGCCACATGCTTTTTGGGGGTGTGTTAGATAATAATCAGTCACATGGTTCTTTTTTTTTTTTTTTCCCTTCTCCCATATTTAATTTTACCTGCTTTAGTTCCTTGTTTTTAGTTGTGTAATTTCCTTCAATTTAAAAATGCCTTTTGCACCTGGTATTTGCATCTTTAAAACATAAATTGTAACCATCCTTGCGTTCAACTAAAGGATGAGTCTCATTACCTATTTTTTAATCTCGAGTTGTTAAATTCCTGCATTGCCCATAAACTTCTCAGGCTTTCTCTTTAACACAGGACTATTCAGTATTCCTGTGCCAGTCTCACCCATACTACGTATCAAGCACCATAATTACTTCTCTGTAGCCACTGAGAAAACGTAACACAGTTGTGGTTGCTCCAGGGTATGTCCCTCTTTTTGGAATCTTGTCTTTTGATAACATTCAAGCCTTTCACATCCATGCACAGTGACAAGTTAAAGTTTGTACTAGTGCAACACCTTTCCCCTGGAGCATTGTGTTATCTCTTAGAAATTATCTGCATGGAATGCAGGTGTGTTCACTTCATGTTCATGGCTGTGCTGTGTGTGGAAAGATTAATGGCAGAAACTTGACACCGTTCTGGTTGCTACAGGGAGAACTGGGGATTAGGTGGACAGAATTGGCACTGGAAAAACAGGAAGTGGGAGGAGTTTGCTCCTTCTCGGGGCTGGCCTAAATCCTGTTATGTTTGATAAGAGTTAGAGGTGCATTTATAGTGTAAGGCATGTTATTTCAGCAATGATTCTGCTGGCTGTCAAGAGCAGTACAAAAAGATGGAGTTGATCTGCAGGGTAGCAGTGAACTGAGTTTAAAATGGTTACGTTTCAGCTTAAAAGTATACTTCTGTTTTGAGAGTCTTCTTGCTGACACTGGATTAAGTCAGTGTTTTGCCTTGTACGCTTACAGAGTACCTCATTATGATAATACTGGTCATGTATTTGGGTTGGAGCCTGTATGTTTAAACGGGTATACATGGTACTGTTTGAGAGAAGGCACACGCAAACTGTCTTTAGTGCACTGTTTATTTCATGTAAAAGAATTTGGGATACACTTTAAACAGTGTTTAAATATACTATGCGTAACCTGTGAGATGCCTGGAACGGTAGGTCTGTGACTGTGATTTGCATACTATAGGCAGCAAATGTGGAAACTGGAAGACAGACAGGTTTGGTGTACTTTCATAGCTTATGTTTGAAGATAGTCCCTACTGCTTTGGGTTTCCAAAGCACTGCAGGCTTTGCCTGTGAGCATGCTGTATTTTTATGTGCAGCATATATAAATTATATATATAATCTTGCTAGAATCAGGCTAATTGGAGATAGAAGTACAAGTGGAAGGTACGTGGTCGTTATGGAGAAGAATCCTGGAAAACTGGAAGTCACAGGTAGTATTTGTGAGTGAGAACATTAAGAGTTGGCATGAGAATCTGAATACCCGTGAATGGTAAACATAACTTGACTGGTCTGGGTTGTAAATTTGTCTGCTTGTCTTTGCCCAGGAACACCTACCTGCCTAATGGACAGTTCTTCATTCAACCATTTCTTCACTGGAAGAAACTCTGGATTGCTGAGGGCTTGTGTGAGATCATGGCGGAGTAGGGCATTTGTGTAAGGTGGAGAAGAGGCAAAGCTGTCTCCATCATGTCTGTAACTGAATTCATACTCCACTAGATAACCAGTGACTGATGCAGAATTGAAAGACCAGAGAGAATTAAGCAGAAACAGGTCTGCAGTGCCAAAGGTGTTTTCCTGCTGTGGCTACATTCCAGAAGGAGGCACGCATTACTCTTAATAAGGGCAGATTGGATACCCAGCATGTCTCTAAAACAGAAAGATAGGATGTAATTTTAAAACTCGTAAATTAATTGAACTAATTTTTAATCTCATGCTCCTTTTTTTCCCATGAACCAGCAGCTGATTAGAATCAGTGGCATGCAGAAAACTGGATTTTCTAGCCTTGATCTGGCTACTAAATGTCTGAAAGGGGACAGTGGTGGTGTTCTTTGTGTATTGCTCGCTTTGGTCAGGAAAAGTAATTGGTATTTGCATTTTGCTAACAGTGAGGCATGGCTCTTTAGGGTGTCCAGCACTGGAACTGTGGAATACACGAGCTGTACTTGGTGGCCTGTGCCAAGGTGCCTGGCACACATTCGAGCCCAAGAGCTTTTTGCTGAAGTAGGGGTGAAAATTCATTGCAAACCTTGCTTTTGAGGTATCGGGGAGGAGCAGAAGTGGGCAGCTCTGGGGGGTAAGGCAGGGAGCTCAGGGTGGCAAGGCTGACAGGAGGTGGAGTCCTGCAGTTAGCAAACAAGAGCAGCAGTGGGGTGACAGCAGTGAAATTTGGCTAATGGACCAGACAGACAAATGATGAGGCACATCCAAAGTCAAGAGAGAAGATCAGGATCATGAAGTACTTGGGCAGGCATGTGCAGACCTGCAACACAGCTCAGGCAGGAAGCAAGGATGATGGGCTCCCTGGCGAAGCAGGGGTAGGGATCTGGTGGGGCTGTTCAGAGTTCTTTCTCACACAGCTCCTTTCATAGCAGTCTGGTCCCCAGTTGTTTGGCCTTGCTGTTACCAGAGCCAGCCTTCTGCACAGCCAGCCAAAGCCTTGGCAAGGTAGGGGGGGGAGGTATCAGAGCCCAAACATCCCACATAAGGACCTTGCATGAAGCATGTTTAGATTCTTGAGATTGATAAAGCAGGCTAATGTCCTTGAACAGCTATCTGGGGGAAGATTTGAAATTCCAGACAAGCTGACTTATTAATGCAATGTCATTGCAAGTGGTTATCTTTGTAATGCAACCAAAGCAGGCATTTCTTAGCTATCAGCCTGATTACATCAACCTTTTTTCGGTCAGCAGTACTTCGTTTTCCAGACTGCAGGAATGGTATTGATCCAGTATTGCCATTCCTAGAAGCCAAGTAACTACTGGGATCCTTTTTGACATTTAAGGTTCATACTCTAAAATAAGAGTGATCAGATGCTGTAGCCTCATGAAACCCTGCTCGTTTCATATGTATGAGAAGTTAGTGGTGAGAATCGGTTTTAAAAAAATCCCTATAAATAAACTTACAAATAGTGGTTAAATGTGAGTGAAGAGATAAAGAAAAGACCTGGGTCTGATGCGTCACCTATACTTCAGTACTTTCTTACTCCACAAGTAAGAGGGTTTACTTCAGATAGGCTATTAATCACTGAACAAACATTAAACCAAAACTATTCGTGTAATGTTCTTTCCAAAGTGCTACTGCCAAGCCAAGAAGCATGCTGTGTTCCTGTGGCCACTGTAATTGTCTGAAATGGAAAGCATCCATTAGTTGTATAAAACAAAGAATGTACTGTACCACACTACTGGTTTTTAATATTTGAGCAAAATGGTGAAATAGGATTTAAAATATTCCCCTGCATAAATAGCAAGTGTGTGTAAAATGTATATACACATTTTTACACACATGGGGTTCATTTATGTATGGAGCTGAAGGCAGGTATGAGTGCGATTACCAGCTTCAGGAAGGGTTGTGAGGGAGGGTGTAACAGTTCTCACATTGCTCCATCTTGCACTGTAACAGCCTTGTATATTTGTGTTCTCCGTGCTTCCAGACTAGTAGAATTGAATCCCAGGAAGAGAGGGACCGGCTGCCTTTCAGACACAGAAGAAACAGCTTACCTGGGGAGGTTGTGCAATGTCCACCGAAAGGCTTGCAATGTCAGACTAAACATCTGCAGGAACCTCGTTGGCTATAGTGGAGCCTGCCATAAGGACAGTGAGGAGGAATGGATTAATGAACTTCAGAGGATCTCTTCAGCCCAAAGACTGCAAATGTTATAGGGCATAAGGAAGACACACACAGCATTAATTGACTGGAGTAATTTTCTCCTTTTGTCACATCCTTTAACTGAATCACTCACTAGTTTTATCTTTTTATTTCTTTCATGAAGATTAAATACTTTTATTGGCTTGTTTCCATAGCTAATATATTTTGTCTGATCTTGGGAAGTATGGGGTTTTTAAGCTGAATGAAAGCACATAAATCTATTAATAAACTTTAGCTCTTGATCATTATCT